TCTCTTACGTTACTTTACGAACACCCTGTAACAGGAGGCTGATCAGGTAGGGGTCACAGATTCGAACCTCGAACTGACTTGACCCGAACGCCATGTATAAATAATTTACATGAGGCATTTTTGCTATTATTTATCGCCTAGGAGATATGCGCATTTGCAGATGAATGGTCCCTTCATTCCATCTCGACCCCGTCTCCTGCGCGACAGCATCATATTCCTTTTAAATAAACTTGCGGCACATGCTGCTTTTACTTTGATCCTCTCCAAGTCTCGCAATCAGAGAAGTTTTCAACACTAAAATGCAAGAGATTTTGAATTTTGGCTGACTAAAAGCAACAGCAAATGCAAGCACAGCCTCTCATAAATGAGTCCCGGTAGACTAACGCGGGAAATGATAGTCCGTTCATGATGCATGTAGCTGAAATGATTGCAAAAATATTCTTGTACTAAAAATAAGACAAAATCTAACATTTGAAATTTTACCCAAATCAATCCTGCTGGAGACTCGTTTGGGCCTTCAAAAGCTTTTCTTTCTCTTAAATCTGTCCGTTGGTTGTTATTAATGAGGAAACAATTCATGCAGCCCATGTGTGATGCAATGAAGGAGACACACCTGCGAGTTCCTTAAGGTCGTCGGGGACCTTAGAAGCGGCTAAGATCATGGGAAGCGATCCGAAGACGCCATTGGTGAGGCCGAGGGCCAGGGAGAAGAGGATTGGAGGTCCTGTGCCCGGGATGAGGGGACTCGCCCGGGGAGATGCACACATGAGCATGAGTGGAATGAACACTATCCGGCACACCGAGGCCAACATCAACTGCCTCGCACGCCACGGGTACGGGATTCCCGCCAACACCTACACCGCATCGCGTCCAATGCAATACGGTGCACATGTGACACATAATACGGCAACATGCAATACATCTCAACACAATGCATTAACACATAATAGTGTGAAAATCTGTTTTTAAATAGGTTTTAGGTTTCTTCATTTCTTCAACTCTGCACTAGAAAGAAAAGTTTGACTTTCCCCTTACTGTAGTAACTACCACGTCCAATGCAATCATTATACATTTATGCGGACCCGAATTCACATACCTATTGCGGCAGTGCAGGCAAACAGTAACAGCTCGGAATTAACTTGAAATAGTATAATCGTAACATGCAACGCAGTTGTTACGGTGCACCCTGAAGACTCCGACGAATGGAGCTCATCATAGCGCCATAGAGTCGAGATGGACTTAGCTTTCACCCCGAATTCCATGGAGAAGGCTCTGCCATTGCATGCTTGATAAATCGGGAGCAGAGAAAAATGAAAGCCAAGGCTCTCATGTCAGACCTAAGACCTTTCTAACACAGATGACCAGCAAGTGAAGGTTCAGAGCTTGAATGTTTTCCCCATTTACACCGACGTTTACCGAGGATATATTTCAACGAATGCCGTTTTGGAAAACTTGCACCAGGTAGTGAGAGGTTCAAGGAAAAAAACCAACAAAACAAGAATATCAGAGCAAGGCTACTCATGACGTGGCCAGCGATACGATGAGTGGATGTGGCCCGCAAATCTCAGGATGTTGAGTAGCTTTGTCGCGGAGGATCTGGATATGCTATTACCTTGCCGAGAAAGTCGGTGAGGTTGAATGCAGCCATGAGGAGGACGGGCATCCAGGACTTGAGGGAACAGGAGAGGATCTCGGATTCGATGCCGGGGAATAAGCTGAGAGTGACGAAATACGCCATGGATAAGCTTATCATGTACGACCAGACTCGACGGGAGATCTGCAGCCGGCTCTCCACCCCACCTGCCATTGAACGATTGGATTTCCACTATTGGGAACTGAAGATCGCGAGCAGCGATGCCACCCGCGAAATTGTTGCAATTTACTAAACAGAGAGTCCTCACGCCATCTCACCGGCGTCCCCATCGAATCGGATAACATTTCAAATAATAGAGGTGATTGGTACTTGATAATCTATACACAGGTATGGCAAAAAAAATCCCTCCGACTTTAAGAAATGCCTGCTCTTATTTGAGTCATTTCAAGAAACTTGCAATGCAGATAGACCGATATGTTTTCCAAGGTAATTGTAAAGTTTCATCAAAACTCGTAAGGCCGACACAAGGCTAAGAGCAGTTACAGGAAGAAGTTGGATATTGAATATGGAAATTCTTGGGTAATTCTTGACCGTTGTAGTGCATTATCCGGGCCACATGGAACATCGCTCTCATCATACTCGTCTTCTTCTTTCGGGCTTTCTTTGGACTGATCTTTTTTAGAATATGGTTTTCACGAGCCTTTTTTCAATTAATAAGGGATGAATCAATAAGTATCAAGCCGAAGAGGTTGCTTCAAATTCCTTTCGATTTATCTTTTGTTTGTGTCGGAGGAGCAAGGCAGCGAGTGTCTGGTCACTCCGGAGGGACTCCAACAGTTCAGATTCATTTTCTCTTGTTCCTTTTTAATAATTCATGACCTTGCTTTGGTAAAACGAATTTGCATGAAATATAAAATGGTAGTTGGAAAAGCTCGCATAACACATGATGCAATTTCCATTTGGAAAAAAATATTTCCTCTAAAAGCAGAACGCATAAGTCGGGGTTATTTCTTGCGATACCCTGATAAGGAAAACACTGGAGAAAGATCGATGAATCGTCTCATTTTCGTGAACTTCATGACGACTATGGAGCTCTTCGATGAAACAGATCTACGAGGTGCAGTCAAAAAGAATCCATCTGCGGGACGCAAACATAGCCGAGGCTTTCCCGAAATGGTTAAATATTGCATGATTTTTCCAATGGATCCCCCCCACCGTCTACCGTATACCCAATTTCTAACAGTGTACTTCCTGTTGCTTCGAGCTGTAAAAGCAGCCTTAGGGATGTGTTGAAACTACTGGAAAATGGTACAACCCGATGCAGATCCGCACCCAAAATAAATTCTCCAGGATCCTGAAGAGCCAAAAGTTGGTGGGAGCCAGGTATGGCGAGTGTAGAGGATGGAGTAATGTTTCCAAGCCATGCGTTCCACCAACTCACGTTACGTTGTTCCTTTGAAAACGTCTACAACGACCACCGTTCCTACGTCTTTATCGGGTCGCGTCATTTCCAGCGGTTTCAACAAACTTCTTTAGCAACTTTTTACATCTCACTATGTGCAAGGTTTAAATCGTTGAAAACTGGGCGTAGACGATCACCCGCCTCGGATAAACCTGATTGTTTATGTCCCACCGATGTATACTTTTAAACCGATCCTTGTATGTTCGCTGCCCATTTGCACGCCCCAATAGCCTTTACTACTTTTAATAACCCTTCGAATTTTCGTGCAATATGACAATTCTGGAAACTTCTATAAGAATGGATTTTAACAAAGTAATCGATTACATAATCCATCCGGAAACCTTGAAGAGAACAAAAGTGCATATAGTGCTAATGCTTTATTTAAATAAAAGGAATACTGCTATTCTGAGCTTATTTCTGATTGAAGGGTCTCTTACATGTCCGCTGTATTTATGCCAACCGTGAAGTAGAAGTGAAAAGTTTTCAGTAATTTCTGACATTCGGTTTAGCAAGCCTCCTTTGTTGCGGAAAGATGCTCCTTTTGGCGGATGCTACGTCAACGCGAAGCTTTCGTTCACGTTTACAGGAATGCTACTGCTTCAACTTTCACCAAATTTTTACCACAGCTCAAAAACGTTGCACTATTTGATCTCAGAGAATGTTATGTGCAGCAGATTCATTTAAAATAAAAATGGAAGAGGTGAAGTGTTGCTAGGCAGCAGAAAGTGAAATGAATGGTTGTCCCTCCTTCTTTCATCTTCTTCCTTCCTTTCCCATCGTCATATCCCACATTCATTCTCATTTACATGACATTTATAACAACGCAAGCGAAGGAGGCTCGCCTCTTGACAGCACTTTGTCCAGCTTGTCGTAGCTAAAGTCGTTGATCTGTATATTCGATTTAAATGGAGTTCGGAAATCGGTTCCGCATCTTTTTCGGAACTCGTGCCTGCTTTCAGGCTTGGAAAGTGGGGGAAGACTGACGCTTGATTCGCAGCCAGATTCGGGTAATTCTGGAGGAAGGTTGCTGGATGACAGGCGTGGGATCGAAGTGACAGATGCCTTCCTTTCTCGGTCCGGATTCTCCCTCTTCGTACGTCGCTTCGTACACGGGGTTCGTCACGTATCTGCATGCCAACACATGATTAAGTCCCGTGTTTCCCTTCTCTTATGGAATGATACAATCGAAGTCAAATTACAAATCTGGGGCATTGGAAGCATGGATGTTTTCCACAGAATGAAAGGCTGAGTCAGGCGCTTCCACTGGGCTCTCCTCATTCCACAGCCCGTAATGCTGCTTTGATCCTGCTGCATGAAGAATGTCCACCTGTAGGAGAATGGCGCCCGAAGTTCATTTCGATGTCTTGAAATGGCACTTTGATTTTGTGGCGTTTTATGGTAGACCTCTTGCAAACATTACCTGAATATCTCAATAAATAAGCGTGAAAATTCTCAGACCCATAAAATGGAGTAAAGGGGGGGGGGGGCGGAATTAGTTCCGGATAATTTTCTCGACTTTTCTAAGAAAATTTATGTGGTTCCTTGCCAATAACCATTCAAAATAATCCCCGAAAAATAGCATGAACATGTATCAGAAAATTCTTGCTTAGTTATTTTTCAGTTTGACATTGCTTATTCCTTGCAGTTCAGGAAGTCTCAAGTAAAGGAGCATAAAAACTTCTAAGACCTACCTAGGGTCGTTCAGAGAGAGCATATTTTGGGTGATCGCGAAATTCACATGGAATGAAAACTAACAAAGGCATACTTTTCCTGGTAAAATTCAAGAATTCCATGTTGTGGAAGATAAATGAATTCTCTAATTGCAAAGAGACTTTTTAAAATTAAGTTGGCCCACTTGATGGCCATGCGCTCTTTTTTATTGCAAAAAAAGACAGGCAAGCGCCAAAGACAAATGAAAATCAAGCAGTGGGACAAGTAATCGTCAAATTACTCATATTTTATTTTAAAAAGCTGACTTTTGAAGACAGTTCCATTCTCCGGGGCTAACATGTTGAAAGAAGGTCATCGTCGCCTCAATTCAGCTTTTAATTCATCAGGAAAGAGACAGGGGCGTGACCGGTGAAGCTGCGATCCAATTTTAACCACTTACCTCTGTCGTTGAATATTCATCGTGGAACGCTTCCTGCTTCCAAGTGCGTCTGGTGAATGGAATAAATTTGGACAACGACTATGCGACGCGGTTGGTACACACGAAGGGGAGAGGTGCATCGCTAGTGGACATCAGTGTACTTAAGTCATACCCAGTGTATTCATCTGGTATGTATTATAGTACTCATCTTTCATTCACATTGATGAAGTTTTCGGTATTATGCATTGACCATTCGAAATCATTGTTTCCCACGTCAGATAGATGCATGCCATTGAAGAGAGAATTTCAATAGCATGATCAGAAGAGCCAGTGTGAGTGCTATTTATGATGAAGCTAGTTCACGGAATCCCCCACCCGCCCCAAGGAATTGCAATGTTCGCAAATAGCGGATAATTGAGGCTATGGCGACCATGGACTTCCTCAGGATTTGCACGGAATCATTTCGGTAGAAGTTCGTGTCCTTCAACTACTCAATCCAGTATATTGAGGAAAACTGCTGAAAATTCTCTTCTAAATGTCAATTTAAAACATTTCAAAATCGACAGGAGAAAATTCCTCGCTTATCCTGTCTGGAGTAATCTAACTTCCGTCGATCTTTTTGTTTCCGAGTTTTCACTGGAGCCCACGATCGAACAAATTGTACCCTAAACTACATTCCGAACAACGAAATGTAGACGATACATGAACCCATTTACCATGAAATGTCCCCGAAACAGTGTTGACAGAATAACTTCCAAGAGATCCGGGCAAAATTTTTTTTTGAAACGACAATTCGTCATCGTAGTTACCCTGAATCTTAGGAATAGGATCTAAAACGGGTCTGACCAATCCGACTTCCTCGGAAGTCTCGGGCTGGAGAGCGTTGGGGTTATCGTAGGACAAGACGACATCTTTCTTGGCGTTCTCCCGGCATTGTTGGACGTGGAAGCGAACGAATTCCGTCCTCTGGACCAGCTGGAAGAGGACGAAGCAGAGGAACACGATGAGGATGGAGATGAAGAAAAAGATGGCCGTGTTCGCCTTCGAGTCGTCCAACAACAACTTGGTCACGATCCGATTCGTCGACACCATCAGCCCCGCTGCGCCTTTAGGAATCGTTCGTGCGAAAAACATCACATATCGAGGATTCGATGAGTTTGAAACTCAGGATCGACTCGTAGACGCACTTTCTCCGGTCATGACGGCTTGGGTGTATCTCGGCGGAAGCATGCTCGTGTAGCCGTAGAAACTGGATTGCTGAACTGCCGCGATGAGAGAATCACGTACGGTATATCGAGTCCACTCCCATAGATCGCTTACGTTTAAGAGCAATCGCACGAGTCATTACCGGTGCAACCGACGGCGACGACGGCGACGGCGAGCAGATTCAATCGATAGGCTGTGGACGTATCGAAGGCCTCCAAGCAGACTTCAAAGACGGCGACGAACATCAAAGTGAGGAACGAAAGGGCGTATCCTGCGAATGGAAAAGGCCGTTTCGACGATCTCGATATCGTCACCGATCGGCGAGATCCAACGCGAATTTCACATTTCGTTTGGGTTTACGCGTGATCGAAAGAAACGGGATCCGCTCGCCCATCGAGAGGATCCGCGTTTAAACAGGAGTACTTGCTTTCCAGAGATAGTTCCCCTCCGAAAGCGAAAACGTTACCGAATGAGATGCGGGTGTGGACATGAAGGGCCTCGACCAGGAGATTGTTGAGAAGAACTGCCCCGAAGGCGACCATGATGTAGAGGAAACTCATGTCGAACACGATCGTCGTCCGGTGGAACCTCTCCAAGTAGTAATCCGCTGCGATGATGAAACTGCAGAAAGAGACGGCACGCGTTCCATAGAAGCATGTGTATCCGCTCGACGACAAGGAAGAAACGAAAGGGACCGGTCCGGTTTCCCAAAAAGGGGGGGGGGGGGGGAGGGGGGGAACCAGAAAATACAGCTAAACCACTTTTTGCTTCCATAGCATAACAAGCACGGCTACGAGTATAAAATAGTGGAAGCAGCGAGGGAAAATGTTTGGAAAAGGCAAAGCTTCAGGGAGCTCTCGTTTACTCGATACCGATGGGAGAATCCCAGGTACCAGTAGTGCACGAGTATCGGGAATTCATTGAATTTTCTGCGTCGCAGCGACCGTAATGATTGCAGTTTTCGGAGAGAAGGGAGGAATCGCGTCGGAGACGGTCGTAACACGAAGCGTCCAATCGACAGGTACAGTGAAACCTCAATGTAACGCCACTGATGGTCATCGTTTATTTTGGCCCTATTTCGAATGAACTTCGTATGCTTGTGGCTACGATATCAAAATCTCAAAAAGACGAATAGACTAAATGGACGTGAAGCTGATATTGCCACCCTTAGTCCCCTCAGATACCCCACGATTTTCCGATGCACTATCGATTCCACGGGTATGACTCACCTCTCACGGTGGAGCTATCTGCTATGCGATCGGGTGAACAATCTCCAACAAATATTTAACCTTTCAAATACTGCATTAAAAACAGTAGGCCAAACTCCTCAGACTGAGTTATTTTGCTGAATATGGACTTCCATAGTCGACATAATTCTGTGAGCTCACAGGCAACTCTCAGAGCAATCGCGTACACGCGATCGCGGTGCTCAACGGTTAAATATGAAAAACGAGTTTACACAGTCAATCAAATCATCTACAGCAGATCAGGTATACGCTGCCACAGTACTTAACCACGGCAAATTAATATGGGAATGGTCAGAGATGCACTGAACTCAAGCCAAAACTTGCTTGTTACTGAGGCTCTTTGCTATATCCCAGACTGGATGACAGTTCATTCTTTCGATTGGACTTTTGTTTTCCCTCAAATCTTTTCTGCAGATGCTGCTACAAGTTTTGAATGAATTTCAAATATTGTCTTCAAATTGAGACGTTACCATGGAAAGGGTTAAAGGGTCAACTGCGTACATCTTCCTCGTAGATAAGGGTTGCGGCAGGTATTCTACTTAGCACAAAAACGAGGATGATTAACGCGGAATGAAGACACATTTGCATAAATAACGGTGTGGGCGGATGACGGCTTGCGAGGGTGACGACACAAAGGGGGATCACCTATTATAAGCTTTTGGGGAAGAATTGGGCAAGAGTGTCCAACATACGGCCTGCGAAGGTGGTTCATCCAGTCCGTCGTCTGTTCCTGAAATTTCTGCATGGAATGACCCTCACACGAGCTTAACCTCGAAGAAGAGTTGAAGGCGCCCTCACCCCTTTTTCACCATTGGCAATTAGGCGATGGCGTCCCCCGGTTGACCCAGGCCAGGGCTGTCAGCATTCGAATAGTTCACCATTCGAATAGAGAGGGATTGTTGACGACCCACAGCTGTCACGAAGGCGCAGCCGTCACGAAGGCGCAGCCAGCTTCTATTCGCTCGCCTGCCTCCGATCAGCAACAGCGCGCGGCGGCGGTGGTAGTGTTCGGATGAGCCACGAAGACAGGCATTGGATCTCAAATGACACAGCTGCTGTCGCCGCTGCCATCGCAACTGCAGTGCTGTTGCTGTTGCGGCTGCGCGAATCGAAGCATGCACGAGAGTTTTTTTGCGCTAACTGTTGTGCAATAAGTGTCACATGGGTAGGTGCATTCTACTGCTCCATGTTACCGTGAACTCTCCAGTTTTCTTACCAGAGCAAGAACAAATATTTTTAAAGGTAAATCCAAGTTTGTTTTCACGTCTGAGGGCCTGTTTCAAACATATTTTTACGCGTCCACAGATTTGAAAGCGGGTACATGCTGACAACAGCCATTGATGGGCAAAATTTATATTTGTTGCGTCCCAAAGTTGGAACGGTGGAAACAGTGAATAACAAAATGTCGGTGAAAAATTGTGGGTGGGGCCCGCAGACATCTGCAGGGTAAGGAATGCGGCCCGCCGACCGATTTGAGTTTGACACCCCTATTCTAAGGTAAGAGTTGGCAAAGGGTGAGGGTGGCAGTATACCTAGTGGCGGTGCGCCGAGGGTACACATTTTCTAGCATTCATGACTTTTAAAGTATCATCACACAGATCGATAAACTTGGCAGCTCTTTTAATCAACGATGCAATTGTTGTTTGTCTAACTATACCCGTGAAACTCATTTTTTAAGGTGCACACTGAGCTCGAAAAAAAAAAAACTTATGATTGATCGTCCTTGTTTGTTTTTTTTTCTCTTCCCCGCCGAAGACGAATGAGTAAATGACCTTTACTTGAATGAACAAACTCGCGTTCAAGTGTCAGAATAGCCGAGAAATTGATTTGGTGAATGATGGAAGACAGTAGTCCGGATGGAGACTTTTCCATGTGCAACTGCAATAGAGAACGAATGCGGACGAAATGAACCGACTCGAAAGCCTTCTTTCAGCATCCTGGACGAACCATTTTCACGGTTGGGTCATGTTTGAAAGAAATGTGCATCTTTCATTTTAAAATTCCCACCTTTCAATGGTCAACAATAGTAGTGAATTATCGAGGGCACATTCTCAATTACCGGACGTCTTGCATCATCGTGCAGTGATTTCGTAAATCCATTCAATGACATTTGACGGAGACATCGAGAGGACCTTTCTGCAAGAGGACCATCATTACTAAAAACGAAAACCGCTTCATCGAGTCTGAATTTGCGACATTTCTTTTATTCTTTCCCGCGACAATCGATGAAGCAGCGCCAACACTGGATTATTTATTCATATCCCATGTGGAAGGTAGGACAAAGATGTCCATTCCACCCAAAAATGAAATGAGATCCATCATCACCACTCATTCAAGTGTGTTAAGACGGCCCGACGGCATGCAGTAATCCCCTTCATAAAACTTCATATTCCTATTAATTTACTAGCCATCAATAGACCAATTAGCCATCACCATGAGCTGAACTCTTGATCTGCTGAGATTCAGAGATCCCTTGAAATGCATATATAATAAAAGAGCGCTCCCAGCACCCTCTGCACTCTCTGCCACGGAAGTTGCCTTCCCAATGCTCCCTCTTCGTACGGGGAAACCGCCATTCATCCGCTCGGAGTCCCTTCTGTTTTTTGTTCTTTCACCACTTTTTTTCTACTTCAAAAACAAATGAGCAACTTGGTTTTCGTTTCCAATTTAAATATGGTTCACTCCCCATAGTTACTGAAGAAAAAAAAGGAATTACTGCTTAAAATCATTTGCATGAGCAGCAATTACATTCATGCAGTGTGACTTCGGTTAACATGAATCATGAGGTCTGCGATCCATACAATATAATATTATTCAGACCACCTGTTAGAGGATTGATATCCTATTCATTGTAGCGTTCCAACGACTGATCACCATCCGCTGACCAGGTGGCAGTTTTAATGGCTCGGGAAAGGCAGAAGCTATTCATTTCTGCTCATCTCATTCTCACCCTCTATGCGCACCGAATATCGAAATCTCTTGGCAATTTTTTTCCCCCTTTCAGTCCCTCCGGGTCGGCCACTGCTTTTTGAATTCAACTGAAACGGTTAGCACTTTTGAGAGACTGAATTGAGAGGCGCGTTGCAGCTATACAACGCTGGGTGGTTGCAAAAGTAAACTTTCCACTTGGTTGGCAGAGGAGGTTGTTGCAGATCTGCGACTCTTATATGATTAATATGACGGAGAAGGAAAGCGAGGGAGACAAGTGAGGGAAAATGGGTGGCCTACCGATCCACGACTTTTCCACGTTTCGACGGTCGAGAGGGATGAAGGGTGAAACCCCGGAGTTCCCGGAAAGGGATGTGAGAATGCATTTCGGACTTTGCTGTCGCTGCCAAGTGATAGCAAAATTCGAAGTTCAGATTTACTTGAATCTGAACCTAGCTATTTCTACTCGGATTGGAGCTGAGAGGCCCAAGTGGTAGTTGGAGCCGGGTTTTCGTGGTTCTAGTTGAAGCCGGATTCTGTTCCTTGCCGATTGGAGGCAGGAGGGACCCAGACAGAAATTTTCGTTGGTTTGTCGTTGGGCCATAGCTGGGGAAGTTGGCTCATCTTCATTCGCCGAAGATAAGCCAATGTAGCTTAGAAGGTTCCGAAAGCCGGCGTGAGATGGAGTCAAAGTAGTCGCAGTAGGGAGTCACTTCTCAATTTTACTGAAATGAGTCCCCTGTCCCTTTGACACAGTTCCCTATGGTTTCTCACATAGATCTCAGAGGGAGACAATTGAATTCCTTGAAACATTTCTCGAAAGATGTAACCTTGTCCTGGAATAAACCAGGAAATTCCGGCCTGAAGGTCCGTGGGAGGATCCTTCTACTTTCCACGATAGGCCGCAGGACCGTTAAAATTTCCACTTCGAGTCACTGAAAATTAATATTATGTGCAAGGAATGCCTGGTCGTTTGCGGGAGATCTGAAATCCTTGCATTCTCGTGTGATGGCATTTCTGGATGGCTTAACGTTCGGAAAGGAAAGGGTATTGCTTGGGCTGGGCTCTGCAGTTGGTGATGGAAGTGTATCTGGGTAAAATACTCGGGAGAGGTACCGATCCTTCATCACTCCTGGATGAAGGAGCAGGAGGGGCCAAAGGATACATTCCAACTTCTCCAAGATGCATAATGCTGTAGATGCGCCTCGTGTCGTTTTTTATTCCTACATCTTTTCACCTTTGGGAAAAGTCGGCTGATGGCTGGGACATGCGCAGTTTCCCAACAATGAGCCAAAGTTAGCCCAATGATGGGCCAACAGGACATGCCTGACCATAAGCCGGCTTAAACCAACCGTAAAGCAACCATATGCCAGTGAAGGCCCTACTACGGCTTATAGACGTGTCGACGAAAAGCCATCGATGGCCCGAAGAAAAATTATTGACTGGGATTGGTAAGAGCAAGGGAATGCATGCGATATGGGAACGTGAACGCGCTCGGGTCGGAGTCCGAGCAAACCTTTCCGATTACGCTTTGTTGGCAGCGAGTGCCGCGGATCGAGAAGCAAGCAGGCAAAGAGGAGCTGAAACCGTGCAACATCGAGGATGAACCGAACTTGTCCTTTTCTCACATTTTTACTTCGATTTTCGTGAGCCGAAGCTGCGACAATCGCTAAACCGTGCCGAGATATGTTTGTTCCAGTTTTTCTCCACGCTCGGCTACATGTTTTGAGAATCACTCTGAGTGGCATATAGAGTCATGTCGATTAGAATGAAGAGAATCCGTGGGTAACTCGATACGCATAAGAGTCATTTCCTCTGGATAATTCATTCCGTATCGACCGATAAGAACCTTCCCAAAGGGACTGTTTCTGGTGACCGTAAGACATTTCGCCTGTAATTGCCCAAGCGTCCATTCGTACTTTTGACACCATCGGCCACGCCAGACAACCACTCGCGTCACAGCACAAATCTCAGCAAACTCAATCTCTTAATTATCCAGAATTTTTGCGAGATTCTTTCAAACCTTCTTGGCCTTCATTTGAAATGAAAGAAAAAAAATCACATATTCACATCACACGTTTTCGATGAAAGGGTGCCTTGCCTCTTTCGGAACGTTTTAAATATTCACGGATAAAATTCCCCCAAACGGTCCCCTTCCGCATTAATTTTCATTTTTACACAATTCGAAGCCCTTTTCCTATTCGTGACCCCAGCCTGTGCACGTACACTGCAACCTCACAAAGGCCCGTAACACGTTGCATCAAATGTTTGCTTTCATCATCTCCCGCTCTACCCTAAGCCATAAATGAGGAAGAAAGGTAAGCAGAAGAACTCGTGACCTCCCACCATCAGTTTTCTCTCACCCCTTGGCCGTCTTCGGCCTCCACCATTTTTGTTTTTCAACAGAAATGCAGAGAATCTTGCAGGAATCGAGAGTAACGAAGGACACTCAGGCTTCATCATACGTCGCCAACAATTGTTAGTTGTCGCTGAGAAGGGGGAAGATGAGCCTTTCGCCTTCCCGGCGATTATGGCTCAGTGTGCTGAATGTCTCAACGGTAGGTCTTCGTGGGGTTTCTTGCTGCACATTAAAGAAAAACTTAGAAGTACAAACACAATATCTAAAATTAATGTCCTGGATAAGTTTATTGCCCCACTTCGTCGTCGTCACCAAGAGGGGGACTATCGATGAGATCTCGACCCGAGGAGTATCAGTAGACAGTCGTCGGGAAAAAATTGAGACCTGCACCTCAATCATCGCGGTCCTCGGTAGATTTTGTTTTTCGTTGCGTTCCTTGATTTTCCCTTCGCTTTACTCGCGCGCCTACCGTTTCGCGTACCCGTGCTTACACGCGACACGAAACGGACGGAAAGGGAGCAGACCTGTTGTAGGGGAGAAGGAATCCTGCACCGGCGAGGAGTAGGGCGAAATAGACGCCATGACACTTGTCCTGGGGGGATTCTCCAGATCTCTCTTCCTTCTTCCGCCTCCGTCCCAAGGGGACGTAACCCAGGCTGAGGGTCTCGTCCATGGTCCTTGCTCCCTTCGATGGACGATCCAAAAGAGCACGGCTGTCGCGTCACTAGTGCACGGGACTACCGAACGGCTGGGGTGATGCAGGAACCCCTCGAAGGGAGGGATCGATGGAGGGTTGACGACTCCCGCGCATGGGTGGGACGAGCCGTCCCTCTAGTTTCTCCCTTTGGATACTCCCGCTCGGGCTCGCTGCAGCTCCTCCGGAATTCCCAGGAAAACTGTTTTGCGTGGGTAGTTTCCATTCTGGAAGGTCGAAAAGTTCTGCAGCGGAAAACGGTAACGAATCCGATCGAAGATTCCTGGAAAGGGGAAAGCCATGAAAAGGTTGTGTGCGCCGCCTACACGATTGGTCCGTCATCGCAACGTTTAACCCCATATTACGTAATGCTAATTCAAAGTAACATGAAAGGCTTTCGTGCCAAAATAACCTATAGTGATAAATTTTTTTTTCTTTTTCACTGGTAATGCATGGTGTTATTTCGAGGCAGCAAGCATAAACTTGTCACTCAGCGGTCTTAAAGTCATGAATCTCCAAGAAAAGGTTGAGATGCTTTAAAGGAAAAAAAAAAACCTTCTTAAAGGTACTTTTTCAAGTCGTGCAACGTGGTGTCAAGGTTAGGTTCATGCAAGGAAGACAAATCGACATATCTATCGACAAAAGCCAGAACCCGGGACTCGAGACGACACCAGATCACACACCAATCGTTGATATGCCTCGAAGGACTCGATGCACATGAACACAGCTGAATATTCTCGTTCTTGCCGACATAAAACCTTCTCCCAGTTTTTGCACTCTACTGTGCACGGGGTCTCGATTGGGACTCGCGTCCCTCAGAGAAATCTCCTGCCGTCCGTTAAGTCATTCCACACTTTTTTACTGCTTATCTTTCTATTGATTTATGGGTTCCTGACCTCAAAAACTGATGTATAAACTATAGGCATGCAGGCTTTACTGTGACATTCACATCGGTATCGATTGCTTCGTTCTTCTTGTTCAGGTAGAAAATACAGGCCTTTTGAAAAATAAAACAACCTCGAAATCGAATTGAAACTGATCGGCAAGCGAGTCGCTCTGATCCACCTCAGATTCGAGCGAATTTGGATCATGTCTGCCATTCAGTTCAGCTTTATTCCCCGAACAGCGAGACAGACAACGATGCTTTCCACGAAGAGATGGATGGGGCCTTAGAAGGAATCTTGAATGACGACCTGATCTTGCTGATGGGGATTTCAATGTGCGAGTTGGGAACGATGAAGTCACGTGGAGCAGGGCTATAGAACGTTTAAAAGAAGTCACGCTGAATGGGAATGGTAGAAAGTTGCTCGATTTTTATGCTGGGAATGGATTGACAATCTCAACCTTCTTCCAGCACAAGGACATCAACAAGTATACTCGGCACAGGGATACAGTACCAGTCGCATACGTATTGTGCGCAAGCAGTCGTAGCTGATCGACTGATTATGTCATCGTTACGGCTAACTTTTGGAACCTAGTAACGGATACGAGCGTAAAGCAGTGGGCCAAACAGAGCATCGATCTAGTGATCGTCCGTATCACTGAGCATCAATCTGCCAATTTAATTATAAACAAACTCCGGATACGGGCGAACCTCAGGGTGGGACGGAAAGCCACAGGTGTTGCAAAACGGGTGAGGTGGCAGGCCCGAAGCGATGAGGAAACTCGGCTAGGGCGATGGGCGAAAAAGTATTGCCAAACTGCCATTTTTTACATAGTGACCGAATGGGGTCTATTTCGATCTGGCGTTTTGGCTGCAGCAGTGGAAGTATGAGTTGAAGAGCGAATCGGAGCGACACGCGGTAACGCCAAGCGGACTCCCTAGTGGACACCTGAATTACGGGCGGCTGTCGCTGCTAAGAAGGCAGCCTGTAGGACATGCATGTCCTGGGGTCTGTTTCAGGGAATTTACAAGTTCTACAAGTTACAAGTTACAGGTACTTGTAAGGGTCGTGTCTTCTTGTTTAACTCTTCCAGCCGGTCCCGCTGCCCCTTCGCACCATTACGACACGACTCTTTTAATTAATTTTAACTTGTAGAACTTGTAAATTCTATTAAATAGGCCCCAGTAGGTCAGACTCTTCGCAGACGCGTTACAGAGAGACGCGAAAAACTGCTGCTTGAGTCGAAGCCGAAGCGAAACAAGAAGCATGGAAGAAATTGGCGAAGAAATGGGGCACGACTAGAGCATTGCTAACAAAGTGTTCTAGCAAACCATTCGAAGCAAGGGGGGTCGGAGAGAGGGGGGTAAAATCTTGCGCATGTGATGACGTCAGCGAGCCATTCAATTATAAAAACTGGCATCCTCGTTGGTTAAGGCCAAAGCAGGTCTCACGCACTCTTTCTCTTGTCTTTCACAGTCGTAATATACAAGCTACTCGCGTTTCTCAGAGCCACCGAGGCAGCATTGTACATATATTGCTGATCTGTTCGTTGATTTCTATAACTTCATAGGTTCCTTAATTTCATTCACTCTTAGCAGCAGTCGTTATAAAGGAAAGTGGTAAGGTTTGTACTGTCGCATCTTGTAAGAATACGTATAGGAATCGGCAGGCATAACATATTTCCTTCCATGAATTTCCAAAATTTCTAGACAGAAAAAATGAATGACTTCAATCGCTCGGAAGAAAATCTATCCCCGGATATGCTTTTCTGTGGTCGCATCTCTTCTCCTTAAATTCCAATCATGATCGAAACGCTATAAGGCGCGTAAAAAAGATGCCGTTCCAACAGAGAATCTGCAAAGCGGAAATACTTGAACGGTCGAAGGAATACTTCGAGGAGCTTTTAAACTAGCTCAAGGCGGACTCTGATGTACCATACTAGGAGCCTGTCTGCGCGGAGAATAGAGCTTCAAGAATGGGAAGTCTCCTGGCGTGGACGAAATCCGGGCAGGGACCCTGAAAGCAATGGGCAACGATGGGTGCTCGTGGTTGCATAGGGTATGCCGAACCGCCTGAGAATCGGGGACGGCATCTACGGATTGGTAAATTAGTGTGGTGGTTCCACTATTTAAGAAGGGGGGACTCGTGGGAGCTCACCAATTACCGTGGAATCATTCTCCCCGGCATACCTGGTAACAGTAGCGTGCCCAGGAAATCCGAATGGGGGGGGGGGGGTTTGCCATATGAAACACTGATTACCCACCCTAATGGCGGGGTTAACATATGAAAAAACCGATAGCCCACCCTAATGGAGGGAAAACATATTCAAAGACTGATAACCCAGAATGTATTTGTGACCAAATTAAAAACTTTGCGAGAATCGAACCTGTAAAATTGACCCCAAGGAGGGGAGGGGGGGTTACGACCCTGCTCGAAAAGAGAGCGCGTGCAGTCATCGCAGAAGCCAAAAAAAAAAAACAATGCTGTCGTGGGTCAGCACCACCCACCAGCTCTTCACTTTTCACCAAATTCTCGAGAGAAAATGGGAACACGCCAATGAGATTTACATGTTCTGTGGATCTCGTGAAGGCGTACGAACGTGTACTGCGAGGGAAGCTGTTGGCAGGAACGCTCAGAGGTTTCCAGGGCCGGAGGCCCCCTTGATACGCAAGGCCTGGGGCAGATTGTCCCCCTCTGGGCGGCCCTGGCTGTGGGGGGTACTGCAGGAGTTTGGGATTATCGGTCAGCTACTGCGGGCCATACAATCCTTATAAAGGGAAAGCAGGAGTTGCGTTCTCTCCTTTCTTGTTCCTCGTGTACATGGATACATGTAGGCATAGCTTGGGCCTTGAAGGTATCAGCACCGGTGGTATCGAGATAAAGATTTATCTCTTTGCCAACGATGCTGTCATTTTGGCTAGGTCTCGACAGGAGCTTCATGGCGAGCGAGCTCGGTTCGACTCGGAATGTACTGCAGCCATAATGAAATTAAGCGACCCCAAAACAAAGGTTACGGTCCTCTCGTGAAGTCATATTGAAGTTCATGTGGTGCAGTTTTAGTATTTTTGGATCTGGTTCTCGAGTGATGGACAATACAGAGATGCAACCGACAGGGCTCCAGGGCTTTCGCAATTTTGCGGGAACTTTGGAGGGCTGTGGATGCCAAATCTGGTGTTTCCAAAGAGGTGAAATTTCGGTATTTAAGGGCGTTTACCTCCCACCCACATGCAAGGTCGAAAAAACTATTAAAAAAACAGGGGACCCGCATATAAGCTGCTGAAATGAGGTTTTTACGGCGGGTGGCCGGTGTAACGCCGAGTGCGAGGATGCGAGCCATTTTGATACTGTGACCAAGGGAAAGAAATTGGCCAATGACCTGAAATTCTTTGAAGGCACTTGACATTATTTGTACAAGGCAGCATCCCTTACTGGAAGAAATGCCACACCAAGAGCATTACAGTACCCTCAAACAGAGCCTTTACTGTTTCACAAATCCTTCCCTCTCAGAACAGTTCCTTATTTCAACAAAAAAATATGGACTATATGGCACATATGAGACTGATCCCTTGCAGAGGTAGAATTAGCAGAAAAAAACATGTCCATGAAAAAATTGTAGGCTACTGGTTCTAAAAAATGTCAAAAGTATTTTAAAAATCTGTTTTCTCTCTTCTTCCATTTATCAGAATGACAGTTTGATAACAGGAAACATCATCACATCATCCATAATGTATGCAAACACATTGCAAATGAAAAGCAGAGTCCTGATACCCTACAGCATATGATACAAATTATTTTAAAAAAATAAGTCACACATGCATGCACTTGCTAGTCAGATGAAAGTATCACAATGTCCCAAATAAGCAGAGTGCTTTGCTGCAGTCCTATGGTCGCTTTCGGAAGAGGTAGAAGAACCGCCAGGCACAAGTACAGGCAGCCAGCATGGAAATGGTGGAATGAAGTATGATCCGGGGGGTTGTCTTCTTCCGCACCAGAACCACGCATGAACCAGCTGAAAGTCTCTCCACTTTCCCAGCATTCTGCTCCACCTGATAGGCAACACAGGGGTCTGTTTGCCATGAAAGCGTGTAGAGTCCAGCACAAACAAGGGACAGGATTGCTAGTGGCATGAAGGTGCAAGTCTTCCCAGGCCATACATAAGCTGTAAAATGGGAAAAAAAAGTTGAATTACTATTGGAATGCAGATCTAAATCATTTCAAAATTCTCTATCAAGAGCTAAGATCTTCTCTGAAATGTTTAATGCATGACTAACACAAGAACTTGAAATAGAGAGGAAGAGCTATCAAATCGAGGCAGAGGCTCTAACTACTGCTCAAATAGCATAATACAGCTAAAGGAACTCAATAAGACCTATTGATGCACAGAGACAGACATGATACATCTTAAGATAATCTCTAGCATAGCCTGATAACCTTGCAAATGTCTCAAAAGAAAATTTGGCAAGAAATGCAACTCCTGTAATTGTTACATAAACAGAAGCTGCATACTCTGGTGTATTGGTACATAAAGAAACCTCTGCAAGTCAAGCTTGGAACCAGGAGAGAAAACTTGACTGAGAGATATTGTTGTTTTCATTATAGGATATTATTAGTTGGTGACACTTGATTCTAACCCCCTCCCTTCCCCTTTCCCCTTACCTCACTAACAGATTTTGACTGAGTTTACTTTTACCTTCAATGCATTTGACTCATTTGTTGCATGACCCTTCTACTTTCATGCATGGAATTTCGAACTAACTCAATCCTATAAACTTTGATTGTTGGGAGGAGGCATCCTCCTAGATGGAGGATTTAGGTGGAAGCAGTATGCTGAGCCAGGGCTAAAAAAACAACAAAAACAAAACAACATCCATGGAAATTGACAGTTATTAGAAAAATATCTAGATTTCTTGACTATTTCCCAATTAGTATGAAAATAAATTACCAATGTCTTCAAAGTGATTCAGTTCAGCCAATCTGAAGGCAAAACTTTAATTTCTTTTTTTTTTATAAGGAAGAAAGGTTCAGGGCTACCTGATATAATGGATCCAAGTCCAGACAAGACAGAGGTTTTGTGCAAGCAGTTTCCCATGGAGATCCAGAGCTGTGTGTCTTTGCCTAGCTGTGATGGCTCAATGATGATGATCTCATAGCTGTCTTCCAGGGCCTTCTCCAACTCCATTTCAAATTGCTCCTGAGAGTTTTCTCCATTGTAGATTTCCCGAACAATTGCAATCCTAAGATAAAACCTCATCAGCTTCAAGTTGTCACTGGGCCCAAAGAGATAATATTTATCATGCAGGATATAGAAAATATGGTAAATAAGCAGATGCATTATAAACAGAATTTCTGCTGAATAGAAGAGTGTAGTATGCTACGAGAACCCCTATAACCTGCGACAGGTATAAGTTACCTTTAATTGAGTCAATGAATGCTCACCTTGGGCCACATGACCTGGGTTGAAGCTCCTTCATGATGCTTTTGCCCAGGGCAGATTTGGCTATATGGGCTTCTATGTAAAGTCACAGTCTGCTCTTACCTTCAACCTGAAAAAGACAATTAATTTGTCTTACATAAGAGGAGTGGCTAGGTCAGGGCAATAAGTAAATACAGAGGAAAGAAGCTTTCAAATTCTAACAAGTTTCATCAGTTGCTGGCTAATGGCATTGTAGATATTTGATGCTATCTTAACCCCCTCATACCCAGTGAACATAAAGCCCATAGGATTTGGCATGTGTACAAGCTACACAGGTCTTATGATGTAAATACCAGTCTTTTTTTTACCCTAGCAATAAATGTTACACTCTCAAATAGAGCATCAGGCATTGCACAAGCCTGGCAATGCCACTGCGGCAGAGGCATTATCATTACTGAGGCATTCTTTACCATATTTCCAGTGAAATTTAAAACACTTATTCTCCCTAGCATAGCATGGCAAGTATTAAGTGAATACTACCCCATGTAAAGCCTATCAAGTCAAACTTGGCAGCATCGGCAATGCATGTTTTATGGTAGCTCATTAATTTTGTGCTGTCATCAGCCTGTCAAAGGCTCATGCGACTTCAGTAAGATGGTGGCCACACCTGGAATGGTGCAGCGCCACGTGCCATAGGGGGAGGCCCCTCCATTTACACACTCTCTATGGTCAAAACCCATAGCTTAGAAACTACTGGTCCAGAAATGCTAGTTAACCAGTATTAACCAAGTCTTTTGCCTTATTGAAACCTGGCTTTAAGTTGATGCATCCAGTCTTTACTCTTGCAAGGGGTAGAGGAACTTTGTTATACTGACAATCAGTTCAAATTTGTCTCCTATGATGGTAATAGCATTAGCTACTTAAAAAGACTAAAATAAGTATTTGATCTCACCATCTCCTTTGATCCCCAATAATACTTTTCTTAATCAAATTTATGGATCTCAGCAACACTAATTGATTATATATTTTTACTCAATGGTACTCTTAACTAGGATAGTACTGTAGTGATGAAACAGTAATGATGCAATGGTGCAACAGACTAAAGGGTTTCATTGACATCCTTTCTACTCCATTACCATAAATAGCTGGGAAACACCACCTCAGAATATCTCTGTCAATGACACAAGAAAACTGCTATTAGACACTTCCATTCCTGATGACTGGACCACTGTTCATACGTGAGTCATAGTATATTTCAAATTTACCACCTCCCAAGACATTAAAAATACTTATTAGCATGAAAATTAGATGCAAAATAAATAAATAAAAATGGCAAAAACCCTTTAAAAAAAAAATCCGATCTAATCAGCTTAAATGTCTCCAGTCCTTCACTCCCATTCACAAATTGCTTTTCTTGCCACTAGTTTCAAATAATGTTCTTCACATATCAACAACATATACACCGAAGAAAACATGAGCTACCACACCACCATGCAATTTGGCTTTGGAAAAAGGACTCAACACCCAATAAACAATCCTTGATTTTCTACACCCTGCAATAGATGCCATAGGTCTTGTTGATGCCCCTATGAGTGTTCTATAAGCCATATTCAAAGCCTTTGACAGTATAGGTTTTTCAGTAGGTTTTCTCTTTTTCAGAAATCTGAATTTGTTGAATAGACATCCCAAATGTCTCACACCTCTCTCATTCCTCTCATATAGGACTGCATCAGTTCAACACTAAAAACAACTTGGTGAAGCATTCTTATCAAATCCTCTTTTCAGAATAGTTGAAGTTCCTCAGGGGTCAGTTCTTGGCCCACTCCTATTCCTCTGGTATATAAATGACTTGCCAAGTTGAACTCACTCGGGAAATTTCTTATTTGCAGATCCAGCTATCACTCCAAAGTGAATGCATAAATTTTGAATGGGCAGTTACTGATGGCCTCAAACTTAACATAGATAAAATACAAACCATATGCTTTGGAGTAAACAAATCACAATAAATGTTCTCACTAACATCAGATCCCACATGAATACCTGGGAATTCATATAAACAACATGCAAAATAATACAAACATGGGCCATGTCTCCTCCTAACTAGAAGTACTCATTATTAATCAGAAACTCTCAAACCATTTCTCTAAAAGATTTACTATCTGTACATGCCACTATCTACCAGTCAGAAATCTCTTATAGAGTAATGGCATGGGGAGTAACTAAAGCAATCAATATCTCTTGTATACTTCATCTACAAAAACAAACTAATCATATAGTTTCAATGGAATATGGAAGCATGCAAGCTTCTCTTCATACAACTCTAAACCTTCATCTTTCCCAGCTGTGTGCTATATCACACCAGAAGATATTTACAATAGACTCTCAGGGCAACTTCCCCTAAGTTTTGACATCCATAAATATAGCATTCAGCAAGAAAATGACATACATTGCCAGAAATTCCTCCCTAAACAAAAAGAAACACACTTCGTATTGGGGCTTGAGCTACTATTCAATCCAACCTGTCAGGCTCAGCTCTCCTATAGAACCAGCCTACAGTCAGTCTCTTAAGTCTTCCCTTCTCCACATCCAATAACCTGTCCTGTATAGGCCTCTACAACATTAAATAAAACAAATAGTTCAAGTATTGTGGCTTTCCTTCTGAGGGCTCTGAATTACTACAACGTGCTGGGCAAACTGTAAGTTTTCAGGAGGCCTTTTTACTTGTTTCTACCAATATGCCAATTCCTCTTTCAGGGAATAATTTTATTGATATAGATGGCCTAACAAACCTACTGAAAGCTTCGTTGAAGATCAAGAAAACGTTATGGCAGTATTTAATGCAATGAGTCCATCAAAAATTAAACTTTGACGTAGGCTTAGGCCTAAGTCCTTGGGCAGAGTAGATCAAAATTGGGCTAGGCATATGATGTATCAGACCCATTCGGTTGGCCTTTCTCCTGGGTATGCTTAAGTTCTCTCATCCTTCCATACAATAGGCGAAGTAAATAGTGCTCACTTGGGCTGTTTGGTAGGAAAAACTTGATCTCTGCTCCTGTCTCCTTCCGTCTGTGGGCCAAAATCCAAAATTATGTAGGAACCAGTATTACTGCGAGACAGGGTTGCCAACTTTGACCGAAGTAACTTCCAATTCCGCCTTTCATATAGGCGTTTGGCCGGAGATTTCCCCTTCTTGGAAGCAGATAAAATTTTCACCTCGTTAAGTCAAATAGTTCAGTCCCTTTTTCGACTAGTTGTGGCGAAAAAAAGCTAAAATAATTAATTACAAATATATATATCAGAGGGATCGGAAAGTAATGTCGTTTTTTCTATTAATCACAAAAATTTGTTTTTACAAGTATTTTTTTTTTTAGTTTCAATCAATTATGTAATCCCCATCATTATCAAGGACAGTTTCCCATCTTTTTTTTAAATCAAATTTTCAATTCCCTGTTTATAGAAGGAGGCTTGCTTTGAGGCAAAGAATTCCGAGAGAGCAGTTTTGATAACATCAATATTTCTGAAAGTCTTGTCACTAAGAAACTGCTGCAGAGATCGGAATAAATGATAATCTGATGGGGCAATGTCGGGTGAGTGTGGGGGGTGAGGCAGGACTTCCCAGCCCAAATCTTTGATATTCTGTTGGGTCATTCTTGCAGAATGTGGTCTCGCGTTGTCGTGCTGCAGAATTACCCCTTTTCTGTTGACCAGTGCTGGACGTTTCTCAATCAGAGCCTGGTGCAAACGGTCCAATTGTTGACAATAGAGGTCTACAGTAATGGTCTGACCTGTCTCCAATACCTCAAATTGTATTATACTGACTCTGTCCCACCAAACGCTCAACAGGACTTTCTGTGGGTGTAGGCCTGGTTTTGCTGTCGGAACCGGCTGCTGGCCAGGGGATAACCACTGATTCTTCCGCTTGGTGTTGACATAAAGAACCCATTTCTCATCTCCAGTAACAATTCGATGAAGAAATTGTTCTCTTGCCTCGTCATCAATGAATTGCAAATTGTTGTGCGCTGGGCTTTGTTTTCAGCTGAGAGTTGATGGGGAACCCAAACGCCTTGTCTATTGACCTTCCCCATCTGTTAAAGGTGTTCTTGAACACTGGACCACGAAGAATTGAGTTTTTCTGCCAATTGTTGGTTGGTTTGACGGGGGTCTGACTCAATCTCCGACCTCAGGAGATCGTTGTCCAACTTCACCGATCGTCCCGAACGATGGTCATCTGAAAGGTCAAGATTCAAGATAGTTAGTGACATCAAGAGGCGATTTCGCCCATTTCGATATCACGTGTC